CGGTCACGGGACTAAGATATACACACAAACATGCGGAGATTCATAAAATATAGCATATTTATTTGTATTCAGATATTCCATACATGTTTACCGATTCTTCTTACACACAACATAGTATGATGCATCGAGCCACATGCGATTTTTACCCAGAACTGTAACCTGCTAGTTAAAACTACCTCAAAGACCAGACACAATATCATCGGCAAATTGCCCAAAACAAACCAAATAAAGTTAGGCAACACCAATACAAAATATTTAAACCGTAAGATACTAATCGAAGTTGTATATGAGATATTGACTAATAGATGACTATAGAGACTCGTTGAGGGTTCGTTATGAGAATCACGCGAGTGATGCAACACTAACCAATTCAAGCCGGTCCTTCTCTCTCTCTACTCTCTTTATATATACTTATATCGAATGATAATTTGAGTTCTATGTATCCAGTGTATCTATGTATCTGTCCCTATTAGCGCGCCCAGAACCGCCCAAGGCGGATCGGATGCAATTTCTTACAGGCCATCTCTTATACCCGGGGAGTGTTCGTGGTAGCTTGAAAAAACCTGCCAAACCGGTTCAATCTCACCGAAAAATCCGTGAAAAACCCCTTCAATTCCGTCAATCTTATAACTATGTCCGCTACTGACTGTAAGCAAGTGGCTGCCACACACAGAGAAAAATCCGATCACCTCATTCTATCACTGAGGCGTGTTCAGGAGACCGAACGCCTCTGCGAGGCGCTCGCGCTTTGCGCTGAACGACAACTGCGTGAGCGCGAGCGCGAGCGAGACGACGCGTTGCGGCAAATTCAAAACGCGTGATTCGCTCAGCGCGCGCATTGTCTTACAAGGAGTAGCGACCCCGAAAATCTCTATCCACGGCCGAATGCGAACGTCAACATTTCTGACCGTCAATTGCAATCTGATTTCAACTTTATTTCATTTTTCATCATTTCATTACTTTTTTAAATTCAATTTGTCATCAATTCGTTTGCTAATATCGTTAACATACTTCGTTCGAAACTCATTAAAATCTCGACGATTAAAATCTGCTGAGTTAACCCCATGGGGCTGCCCATCTTTGATCAAAGCGACGCTACAGCGAGCGCGTCCGGCGTGTGTCGTTCAGGAGGCGCTGCGTCGTTCATTCGAGCGTTCGCATCGCAGCGCTCGCTCTCGCTGAACACGCCTGCTGCTCTGTAATTGTGAAACCGAAACCGGTACGTCAAAACAGATCAGACCAGGATATATTTATGTGTCAGTGTTGCCGAGCAATCGGCGGGACGGGGGGTGTGTGTTGACCTCGTCGTCGGAATCGCGTTCAGAGTGCCTGTGTACGAACTGCATTGTTTATCACTCAGAGGCTTGTGAAATGAGAAGGCAACCAATTCGCGTAGCATGCTGTTACGAATAACTTTTATTCCTTATTTACACCATATTACTTATTATGTTCCAGGGGCTTCTACGTTGGCGTGTGTGCCTGTCATATACAATGTCATAGCGTAACCCGTTTTTACCGATGCTTATTATCTGCATTACACTTTGATTTGCTAATATTTATGAGAGATTCACTATAGTTTAGTGATGAGTATTATATAGTTTGAGAGGTTAGCGACTGTGCTCAAAACATCAACGCGCATAAAGACGCGTAGCCAGTGAGTAAAGCATTCTTTTATAAATTACAAAGTTTGCCGCACTCGCTCGGCCTGTCCTGTCATGCCCTCACTACTGATATCGACTTTTCATTCGATGCTTACGATTTCGAATCCAGTCTCCTAGTACCTTCGAAAGCTTGCCTTTATCTGATTCAGGTTATAGAAAAAGTCCTTTATTCCCAATGTGCATGGTTTGCGCGCCAAGCATTCACTAGACATATCCAATGCGACACAGAACCGCCCACTCGCATGGCCGTGTCTCTATGCTATACTAGTATAACTATACCCACGTAGTTTGTCGCTCTTTATTCAGTCCTACGATCTGACAATGTTACGCGGGGGTACGTGGTGAGCCTCAGACAGTCTCGGGAAGACGGGCCACGCAATCTCCCACCAGATCAATAAGCACCTAACCATCTGTTTATCAGGATATCAAGAGGTTTTCAAATGAAAACTGCAACCCATTCGTGCATGCTGTTATAATAACTTTTTCTCATTTGCACCATATTACTATTATGTTCCAGGGGCTCTAAGTTGGGTTCTGCTGTCATATAAATGTCATAAGTAACAGTTTTTCCCCATGCTTATTATCTTATTACACTGATTTGTAAATATCGATATTGTGCGCAATGTTATATTGTCGATTTTTACCCAATGTTCCTATTGTGTCCAATTATTAGTAGTATGAATTAGTAGCACGATTTTACCCAGCGCAGCGGGTACCCGCAGCTAGTATATATTATAATTAGCCAAATAAAATACAAAGTAATCAAATAAGAAACCAAATAAATGGAAGTATATATAATGCAAAATATGTAATGTTTGGCAACAGCTGAATTTGAAATGTAAATGAGTAAATGATATCACATGTCAAATAATATAATACTGAAAACGCGAGCAAACGACACATGTACCCAGTACATGTACACAAACCCGTACGTACAACATATATATCCAGGGGTAGAAATTAACTTTTGAACACGGGATCGAGTCCAACGAACTCCCTACCCTCAAACAGAGGGAGTCCACAGTCTGACGTTCAAAATTAAAGATATTAACAATAACACATGCCATTTTTTAAGATTCATGTGGTTGCACGTCTGCCAAATTTTCTTTGGACATTAGCTGGAAAATACGGTAATTCCGCGAGACCGTGCTCTTGATTGAACTAGTTGGTATGGCAGAATTTTCAGGGAGTCACACGGACTCCTGCACATGTCAAATCAGGGAGTCCGGCAGTAAATCAGGGAGTATTTGACTCCGGACTCCCGTTAATTTCGCACCCTGTATATCAATATATAACATATATATAACAATATATAACATATATAAAGATTAGATATGTATCAACATCTGATGAATCCACCTCAAAAATAAAAGCTCAAACAATCTACTCTGATTCACTCATTATGCTGTATTCTTGTGCCCTTTCTCTCTCCTTCCTCTTCATTCCGCCATGCCTATCTCCTGCATTCCTTAGCCATACCATTTTTTTTCAACAGCAGCCACTGTTGCATTTTCTCCCGGATGCTTTACAACTGCACCTGAATTACATGAAGAGCCAAATTAAAAAAGCACAATAAAAGTCTTTTATGACACCGAACGATATATGCAAACCCACAATTAATATCATGCCCCAGTCACAGAAAGGAGGTTCTGGAAAGCTATATAACTTCATAAGGTGAATTTCGTTTTAAATGGCACTGATATAACATGGCCATTTTTGGCAGCGGCGCTGCAGCAGCGCCAGTGAGCGGGTAGCTCTAGTACTATAGTTCACGTACAGTAACTGCCGCAGTAACTGCAGTAACCAGCGGCAGTTACTGTACGCAGGCTATAGTACTAGAGCTAGGGAGCGGGAACTAGTTCCCGCTGACTGGCTGGAGTAAGTTGGTCCCGAGCATTCGTAATGGCTGATCCTATAGCCCAGCCTCGCAGCTAGGGCCTGCATACCTCCCAAATCCCATTGGTTGATACAAATCACGTGCCTGAAACTCCTGTTTTAATAAAACTTTTATGGTGCATTGTGACCCTAACCCTAACCCTAATTAAAATTTGATTACAAAATTAACTAGATTTGTATCAACCAATGGCCATTTGGGAGGTATGCAGGCCCTAGCTGCGAGGGCCCAAGGATAGAGAACATGGGTCCCAATAAAACCAATGTGCTTGGCTAATACCCTGACCTTAATCCTAACCCTAACCAAAAATATAATCAATATAATCAATAATATTGATGTAATTGTAAATGACATTGGTTTTATTGGGACCCATGTTCTCTATCCTTGAACCGCTGCGGCCATAGCCCAGTGGCAACCGTACGCGGGCTATAGTTACTAGAGCTACAGTCGGAGAGCCTGGTCGGTTTACTTTACTAATAATATCATGTGATCGACCGACCGTGTATACAACTTACAAATACAAGCACAGGTTTTCGTTAGTTCTATAACAGTGACACTTCCCTAAACTTCCTTGTTTCTGTGCACATACTTAGAAGTTAGAGAGCATGTCCAGTAATAGCTCTAGTACTATAGCCCGCGTACATTGACTGCCAAAGTATAACTTGAATAAGTAGGACTTGCCTGCGGCAGTCAATGTACGCGGGCTATAGTACTAGAGCTAGTCCAGTAATAAACATCATCCTATCATATCCCCCGTCCTGGACATCATCTCTATCCTTGAACCCAAATACCAATCATTCAATTGAAATAACAGAATAGCTTATAATGAGAAATACAACTTGTTATTTGCACTTAAATACGGAACTTACCAAGAGCAGATAAAAACTTGACTGATATTTTTCCATGTTGAAATAACTGCCAAAATAACTGTTACAGATAGGTGGCGGTTTAAGCGCACTTGTTTAAATTTTGTTAGATTTTTCTTTTTCATCGAATACTTCACACATTTCACTATACATATGTATAATAACCACCGTTTAATAAAACATATAACTTAAGACATTGTTTTATAAAAAAATCTTCTTACCAATTATAGCCCCTTTCCACATTCAGCGTCGACTATGGAAGCACTGCCACTGAACTGGCCCAATACCGGGCCAGATTATATGGCCCATTAGTGGACCAGTTCGCTGGTTCGGCACCGGGCCAGTACTGGTAACGTTTCAGCTGTACTGGCCCCATGTCGCGCCATGAAAGCGGCCCGGTGCGGGGCCAGTTATCTGGGCCTGTAACGGGCCAGTACAGCTGAAACGTTACCAGTACTGGCCCGGTGCCGAACCAGCGAACTGGTCCACTAATGGGCCATATAATCTGGCCCGGTATTGGGCCAGTTCAGTGGCAGTGCTTCCATAGTCGACGCTGAATGTGGAAAGGGGCTATAATTGGTAAGAAGAATTTTTTATAAAACAATGTCTTAAGTTATATGTTTTATTAAACGGTGGTTATTATACATATGTATAGTGAAATGTGTGAAGTATTCGATGAAAAAGAAAAATCTAACAAAATTTAAACAAGTGCGCTTAAACCGCCACCTATCTGTA